GGCCTTATAGTAGTCCACTTTTTTGGGGGTTGGGAAGACTTACAGATGCATTTCAGCATTCTCTGGTTATCATCATGCGATTCACCAATGACAAAAATTAACTTAAAATGTAGTGTGTAAAATACAGATATGAAATTCATCATTAATCATTGGGTCACCACGTTCTAATATATAATATTTTGAGTTTAGGTATTTATGTAAAAGGTCAACCAACCAACTAGTAATCAATAAAGTTCAGTTTTATTATATCTGCCACTCAAAACAATAACCAACAACTCACGAAATGCTCCTCCAACGGCCACCATAATTGGCCAACTTCGGCGAACCATCAACACCAGCTAACTCTAGACGAACACCATTGGTAGAACAAAAATCAAGTTTTTCTAAATTCCAATTTCCAAACCGAAATCAGCACCATTTCGTTAAGAGAACATTATTTTGAACTAGTACATAAATTAAAAGAAAAGGGAAAACCGACCTTAAAGTCAAGAATTTAATCTGACTATACCATCGTTAGATTTTTTTAATTTATTATATATTAAATATTAGGAGTGTGATATCTATACACTCATTTTTACTCCTCACATATATTTTTAATTTTCAGTCATCAGATTGAATAAATTGAAAAAGATCAACAAACAGAAATTAATAAAAAGTATTTAAGAAGTAAAAATTGATGTATGAAAAAAATACTCCTAAATACTAATGGAAAAGTATAGAAAAACAAATACAAAAAGTTGATGAACAATCAACCGACCGAAAGTGCACATTATTATCGGGCACTATTTATGCAGATATTAATGTCCCAAAGGCTTTTCGAAATTCCAGTTGTTTCCATCATTTCGTTTTCACTTGCTCAAGCTTCTCCTTCCCTTCATATTCATATATACAACTAACGAGGCTTTTAAGGAAATGAATCTTCATTTTTGAAAAAAATGAGAATTAGTTGTGAGACTCATTTTATATCGAATTTTAATGATCCGAATTATCTATTTTGTAAGTATCAATTCATTAATCATTCTTGCAAAAATTTAATTCAATCCGAAACCATTTGCCTATTTTGTAGGTATTATGATAAAATTTCAATGTTTCTTAGAGAACAAAGTGTTCGTCAATTTCTTTAAACTTAATTAGATGCCTAAAATATTTATGCTTTGACAAATATTTTGCAAGGATGATCTATGAGGTGCAATTTGAAAAATAGACAATTCAGATCGTTAAAGTTCAATATGGTGCGAGTCACACAACTAATTCTCATTTTTATAAAAAGAAGGATCCCCATTTTTAAAGGTCTTCTACAAATAATATCAAATATAACTGTTCAATTACAATAGTAGTGACATGACAAGTGTTCATAAAAATTCATTAAATTTCTATTTATATCTCAATTTAACCGTTAATTTTTTGTACCCCTCGTATTTTGTGAAGGTGTGGTAGCCGGGGAATGAGGATCCTCTTCGAATCCTCTTTGTGAGGATCCTGAGGATCCTCAAATCGTATCTATTCATTGTACATCGTACGGTAAAAAATTATTCTAAATATTTTTATTTAAAATTAAACATGAAAAATACTTAAAAAAACTGATCGCACGATATACGATAAATGAACACGATTTAAGAATCTCCGAAGTCCTAACAAAAAGAATCCGGAGAGATTCCTCGTTGGTTGCCGGGAGGTATTAAAGCAACGCCTATGAGTGGAGTTGAGCGCGAAATATGGGACCCATCTCAAAAACTCTAACAACATAAAGATGAATCCACTTGATTTTTTGAAAAAAAAAAAAATCCACCTGATTTCATTCTGCTCGCGACTTTTATATGGATTGTGAGTTGTGACCATTGCATTTTCTACTGACCCAACCCAAAGTCTTTCATTTATATTTTCTTCTCCTCCTTCTAAGTAAAAAATTGGGTAGCCTATTTTTTGAGATTTTTAGTGTGTCAGAAACACACTTTGATACAACAAGTATCATAAGATATTAGATACTTTCAACCATTTGTATTTTGACTTTTGAAGTACTAAATTGTGTTTTCGGCGCACTAAAAAATAGTTTCCTACTTCTTAGACCCTTGTCGTTTTTGCTAAACCTCTATAAAAATAGTTCATGTTTTTATATGGACATGGCATGAGAAGAAGTTATGGTCCTCAAAGCATGTTAGGCCAAACATATGGGGGGTGTAGTCAAACTTAGATTTTAAAGGATTTTAAAAGTGATAGATTTGATAGAATTTAAGAGGATTAAAGACTCCTACAAAATTCATATGGATTTTAAAGAATTTGAATGGATTGTGGGGGAAGGATTTGAAATCCTAGGGGTGAGGTTGGATTCTTTTTAGTTTTGGTTATACATACTTTTTGCTTTCAAATCCCACAAAATCTACAACTTATTGAAATCCTCCAAAATATTAATTTTTTGAATACACTAGGATGAATTCTAAAATCCGAAAATCCTTTAAAACCTTTTAATTGACTACACCTAGATTTGAATGGATTCTAAAATCTTTTAATTGACTACACCTATATTTGAATGGATTCTAAAATCCTTTAAAATCTTTTAATTGACTGCACTAGGATTTCAAAGTCTTTTAAAATCCTCTCAAATCAAAGTTTGACTACACCCCTTAATTGTAACATCCCACATTGCCCAGATGAGTGATCCTTAAATGTATATTCTCATCACTACCTAGCATGATGCCTTTTGGGAGCTCACTAGCTTCGGGTTCCGTAGGAACTCCGAAGTTAAGCGAGAAGGAGGCCAGAGCACTCCCAGAATGGGTGACCCACTGGGAAGTTGCTCGTGAGTTCCCAAAAACAAAACTGTGATGGAATGGTAAGCCCAAAGAGGACAATATCGTGTTATAGTGGTAGAGCGGGCCCGAGATGTGGTGGACCCGGGCCGGTATGTGACAATTGGTATCAGAGCCAATCCCTGGCCGAAAGTATACTGACGAGGACGTCGGGCCCCTAAGGGGGATGGATTGTAACATCCCACATCCACCAGACGAGTGATCCTTAAATATATATTCTCATCCCTACCTAGCATGAGGCCTTTTGGGAGCTTACTAGCTTCGGGTTCTGTAGGAACTCCGAAGTTAAGCGAGAAGAAGGTCAAAGCACTCCCATGATGGGTGACCCACTTGGAAGTTGCTCGTGAGTTCCCAAAAACAAAACCGTGAGGGAATGGTAAGCCCAAAGCGGACAATATCGTGCTATGGTGGTAGAACAGGCCCGAAATGTGGTGGACTCGGGCCACGATGTGACACTAAGTATTTGTCCACATCATTGCCTAACAATGTTAGTATCATCACTTAAGGGTTTAGGGTTGGTAGAACAGGCCCGAAATGTGGTGGACTCGGGCCAGGATGTGACACTAAGTATTTGTCCACATCATTGCCTAACACTGTTAGTATCATCACTTAAGGGTTTAGGGTTTTTGTGCCTCACATAAGTCTAATTATTTATTTATGAAATAACCGAAATCGAATATGCAACATTTTTTTTAAGAAAACGTTGAATTTCATTCCAAACAAAAAGATTACATAGTACGTTAACTAACAAAAGGTATAAAGTGGGATGATAAGGTCATCTCCAACCGAACGAGGGCCAGAGAACTCGTTTTAACCCTCTGGCCCTCTAAGATATTAATATTTTAATGAACAGTACATAACCATATTTGCTTTTGTGTCCAACTGAGAGCCAAATGGCCATATGACTCGTTTTAGCCCTGTCACAAAAAACCGTCTCCAACCGAGGGCCATAGGGTCAAACATAATTTATTATTTAAATTTAATGTTATTTAATGTTGTTTCATGGTACTTAATTTAATGTTATATAATGGATTATGAAGTTATAGGAAAAAAATAGAATTAAAAAAATTTAAAAATTTTGTTAAAAAAATAAAAACAAAAAAGGCCTATCATTCATGTCAGATATAACCGATAGGAATAAATATAATGTTGTCGGTTATATTCGACAGGAATAATGAAAATCCAGTTTGGCCCTGGGCTGGCTGATTGGATTGGGCCAGCCGATTGGCCTTTTGACCCTTTTTTGTCCAGTGTGGCCCATGAGCCCTTTGGCCTAGCCCTCGGTTGGAGACGGTTTTCGGGCTATTTTTGACCCTCTGGACCCTTTGGTTGGAGATGGTCTAAGCTTGGACGTTTAGAAAAACCTCCGGTTGAAAACTCCCAAAGGAAGAAATATCAACCAAAGGAAAAAGAGCACCTTGCACTTGTCATCACTTAATATAACATCAAACTCAATGGATCAACTTCCAAAGGAGACATCGACCATGGAGGAGCCTTCTCAGTTCAAAGGACAACCTCTGGTTGAAAACTCCTGGAAGGAGGAAATATCCACCAAAGGAAAACAAGCTCCTCCCATTTGTCATCACTTTGTTTTTTTGACAGAAATTGTCATCACTTAATATTACATCGAACTCTGATAGATCAACTTCCGAAAGAAACATCGACCATGGAGGAGCCTCCTCAATTCGAAGGACAAAATCATTCTCAGCCACCTTACTTGAAGAGCAAGAGAAAGACTTTACTGCCATGTAGCATCACATGTCAAGAATATAATGATATATGTTAGTTAATTTACGTGTCTTTATGTTATTGGCATAGGACACAACCGTAATAGCTAAACATACAAATTGTTCTTGAGAGCAGAGTCGGTATTACTGTAGATAAATTTTTCAATGTGCTGGACACACAGCCCGATACACTAAGAATCATAATACAAGGGTGAATTCTATTTTTTTTTTAAATTTCCAATGAATTATATTATCTCTACTAATAGAATGCCAGAATTATATTTAACGTTCATGATCATGTTCCGGCACACTAATAAATCTCGTAACCGAGGCCACCAAAGTGGCACAAATATTAGGCATACGAAGTGCCGCATCATAAAAGATGTTAGGCGCGCAAAGTGCCACATCATCAGAAACGAAAAAGCTAAAAAAAAAAAAAAAAAAAAAATACTGATAAGATATTACGGTTGGTGAGGAAGGGATAGAGCAGGGAGAAGTTATGGCGGGAGCTTCAGTGCATATGCAGCATTTGAACAGCAGAGTCGGTGTTACTATGGCCACCGCTACTACTCCTACAGACACCCAAATCGGGACTCGGGTTCAACTCCCAGAGAAGACCCGCAATTCTCGGGTGTTGGTGCTCGGCGGAACGGGTCGGGTCGGAGGCTCCACTGCCATTGCCCTCTCCAAGCTATGCTCCGACCTCCAAATTGTCGTCGGCGGTCGAAACAGGTAATGAAATTTACCGTTATGCCCAACACGTACTCACTGTTTGGTTGCCGAGAAAAAAAAAAGGGAAATGAAGAGAAAATGTTACTCCTTTGGGTTTGTTAGAGGTGAAATTATCTATTGGCTGGTAGAATTAGAAATGCAAGGAAATTTTGGGATTGAATTATTGTAAAATTTATGTTTTTTGAACAAGAATTGTGTCACTGTCTAAGTCTGCACTCCAAATTTATAAAAACGCAGGGGAATTTGTAAAAAGAGGAGTGCAGGATGACATTTTTGGAGTGCGAATAACGGCACTCAAATAATTAATTAACTTGTTAAGAAGGGCTTCCCTGTCCTGCATTGCCTTATCTAGACCTGGTTAGACTAACAAAGTTTTCCCGTCCAAGCGTCGAGAACCTTAGTAGCTCTAATTCTAATGGTGCACAAGCAGTAAATGTCCGTTATCAATTTCTAGATGACGTAAAGTTAAACAAAATGAATAGGCAGGTAAAATGCATAGCGGAAGAAGATATACCCGATAAAGAGCAGGAAATGGTGCATTTTGATAATGTTGCAGTGGTCTTGAAAATGCATTACCTTTTAGCATCTTCTCGAGTTCTTTCTCATGTGTGATTACGAATGTTTGCTTGTTGAGATGCTAAAGTTTGCTGGAATTGGGTTCCATTACAGGGAAAAAGGTGTTAATATGGTAGCTACACTTGGGAGAAACTCAGAGTTCTCAGAAGTAGACGTTAACAATGTAAAATCGTTGGAAGCAGCTCTGAAAGGTGATCGATTCTTCTACTTTCTTTTCAACATATATTGTCCGTGAATTTAAGTTTCAGCATGCTGCTACCCCTACTCGGGTATTGAATGGTTTCACCAAAAAGTTTCGGTGTTATACTTGACTGATTCGTTACGTATCATGTAGGGAATATTAAGTATTGGAGATGTGTATACCGTATATTTTCTTATTTTTAAGTAAGTATTTCTTTTAGATTTTATTGTCTTCTTAATATGATCCAGTTTGACTCAACAGTTCATACCAATAATGATTTATTCCTTTCTAATGTAGGAATAACTAACTAAACCGATTCATACGAAAACTTTTAGATTGTCTGCCATAGTCTGTGCATCACGATGAAACCTGTCCTTGGGTCTAGTTTAAAGAAAAAATGGTAAATGGACAAATATGTAATTTCTTACTTATACATACTTGACCTCAGTAATTATTTTTTGTTTTGCTTCTTGGTTTAAGACTAAGTCATTGAACATGAACGTAGGGACAAGCGTCCCAAAAAAGAAAGGTTGGAACAAAAAGAAACATCATTTATCTCACCAGTTCCACTTTTTGCGTTTCACTTAACCAATGCTTCTGTAATAGTGAACGGCTATGCAATGACATCTGGGATTTCATGTCTTTCTGTTACGATCCTTTCATATTTTATTAACTCAATTTTCAAAATGTGCTGACATGCTCTTCATCCTCACTGGCCTTTTCTTTTTTCACCACGGGCCATAATTGTCACATCTCACAATTTTGTTTGTGTGTAAGTAGAACAGGCAGATTTTTAACACTGCATCGTTTGTTTCTATTTCATACCTGGAAATTGAGAGAAACCCAGAATTTCATTTTATTGGTTTACCCCTTCTGATATAATGGGGATCATAATTGATATGCATGAGAAGCGTGTAATCCTAGTGTGGGTTTCATAATATTGTATCCAATTTCATTTGAGCAAGTAGCTTCATCTTGTCCTTAAAGTGCAGTTATGAAATTTCATAACAGTGCATAATGATTCATTACGACTTCTCTCTGTAGATGTAGATCTCGTAGTTCATGCTGCAGGGCCATTTCAACAAGCAGAGAAGTGCACTGTATTGGAAGCTGCCTTAGAGACAAAGGTTAGTGAGCGAGTGTGTGTATCTTGGAGAATGTATCTTATAAGTTTACTAAAAAGTTGTATGACTTTGATAATGTCTTTCATCTCCCTGCAGACAGCCTATGTTGATGTTTGTGATGACACAGCCTATTCACAACGTGCAAAATCCTTTAAGAACAGTGCTATAGCTGCAAATATTCCGGCAATAACAACCGGTGGAATTTATCCAGGAGTGAGCAATGGTCTATCATCAGCACATTTTGTTCTGTAATCCACAAGTTTGGTGGTACACTTTGCTTGTGCATATATTTGATCTGTGTTCAAAAAAAAATTTTGCTTGTCCAAGATAAAAACTCAAATACCAGGCTCTTTTTTATAGGGCCCATAGCAAGATATGTTACTCTCTTTCTGTAGATAGAACTACATGCACGAGCTGAGAAACCCCAAGTACCTAGGGTTTTTTGAGTTCATATGAGTTGTACCTTACATGTATAATATAACAGTGAAACCTCGTGATGTGTTATCTTGCTTTTGAGTTTGTTGATGTGAGTTTTGGAATATCTTGAGGACTAGGATACATGATGCCTAGGGTTTTGTTCCACCAAAAACATAAAGCAATTTGTAAACACGCCAATGGAAAACCATTGGAGTAGTCATAGATTAGAGTTGTGATAAGATGATATTCTTGTGTTAAAAACTGGATCTACCATTCGTTTTTTCTTCGATGCTGACTCCTATTTGTTATAATGGCAGTGATGGCTGCAGAACTAGTTCGTGCAGCTAGGAGTGAAAGCAAAGGCACACCCGAAAGGCTAAGGTAAACCATTCCCAGTACCTTAATATTTTAAGTCCAATCAATTGGCATCGAATTGGATTTTTTCTTGCTAGTATAAATTCTTTCTGTAGTTCAAATGGTGCCTTCTACTCACATTGTCTTTCATATTAGTTCGAAATAAATCTTTCCTTGGCCACACTTCTCAAGCTGCAACTCTAATTATAAGAACACAAAAACTTTAACCAAAATTATAATTAATAATCTATACCCAATGTGTTGCGGAGCTTTCGGCTGTGAGAGGGGCGTGTCTTTTGGCTTCCTCGGGGCGCTGTGAAGCTTAGCTTACTTTAGCAGCCATGTGATGATTCAAGTTCGTGGTAGGCATAGGGGCTGGGCAAAGCAGTAGCGAAGCTCAGGTGGTGATGCAAGTGCGTGGTGAGCGTAATAGCCCCTTGGGCACGTTCCTTGTATAACCAAGCGAAGAGCTAGTGAGGGCCAGAATGGAATATATGGGATCAACATTTTCCTCAACTGCCCTCTCATGTCTTTGTTATTTGTATTCAATTTTTATCAAACTTGAAATTGCATGCTTTGATTAGGAGTTCAGATACTTCTTGATTGAAGTGAACATATTGATCTAATGCATAGTCACACATAACATAACATGGAGTATTCGTAGTTTTTACTATGCCTAACAAATTATTGCAAAATCCTCGTATCAGATTCTATTACTACACAGCAGGAACTGGCGGCGCTGGTCCAACTATCTTAGCAACTAGCTTTTTGCTTCTGGGAGAGGAGGTTGTTGCATTTAATAAAGGTTAGTTTCAATAGTGTTCTGCAATTTCTTTTCCCCCTTTCTATTTGTGCTTCTTTTGAATTCCGTATATCATGCCTAACTGTGATAATGGACTTCTCGACCAGGAGAAAAGATCAAACTAAAGCCATATAGTGGAATGCTGGAGATTGACTTTGGAAAAGGCATTGGAAAGAAAGATGTTTATCTGTTGTAAGTTCTGTGAGAAGGATATTGATGTTAAACAAGATGCAATTTTATGCATGAGTTTGGAGTCACCAAACCATATGATCAATAAATTATACACAAAAGAAAGCTGTAGTACTAAGATTACCAACAATTCGGTTAGTATGTAAGGTGATGCCATCAAGTCTCATACAGTAGCATACACCACTCACCCACATTTTTCCGAAAGGGTGGGAAATCCCATTTGAAACTTGTTGTTCAATTCTGGTGTCAGTTTCTTTGTTGACATTGTAATATTTCAATCACCATCTTAACACCTACCTTTCAGCACAAATGCACTGAAATGGATGATAATCTGCTGGAACTGATAAAATACCCTACTGGAATTCACAAAAGATGGTTAACAAGATTGAAGAAGTTTCATCCAACATGTTTCTTTCAATTTTATCTTCTGGTCGTTGGAAGAAATAGAAACATATGTATGTTTTATGTACTGTAATGGTCTGATGGGGCCACAGAGTAGTTGATAGATTGCAGAATAGCTCTTAAATTGCACAGTGTTTTGTCCTTGAGATGTTTTTGCGTCGGAGTGGGGTTTATTTTTCTTTTTTTCAAGCTTGGTAATTTCTCTTCAGATGAACCAGTTGGTTTCTGTCTAACTGCTCAATTTGGTTCAATTACTATGAGGGTTGATGAACAATATCTTATTTTCAGGAATCTACCGGAGGTAAGAAGTACTCATGAGGTCCTAGGAGTACCTACTGTCAGTGCTCGATTTGGAACTTCACCCTTCTTTTGGAATTGGGGAATGGCAATCATGACTAGTCTTCTTCCACCGGTACACTATGACTTTAGTATTGCTTGCATGTGCTCTGATTATTTAGACTGAAACTGTAGCCTTGGCGTTTGAAATTTTCACCCCTACTATAAGAAATGAGATTAGATGATGATTAAGTAACATGCTTTAACAAAATGACCCTGCATTAATTTTGAGTAACTAAATGTGCTTTTAGCTCCTATAATAAGCCTAAGTAATCTATATAAACTTTGCAGGAGCTATTGAGAGACAGAAGCAAAGTCCAACAGATGGTTGAACTGTTTGACCCCGTTGTCCGACAAGTTGATTCTTTTGCTGGAGAGCGTGTATCAATGAGGGTGAGACAATTGGATGAGGGGAATAATTATAATTCACATGATCTTTGTCATTGCAATTCACATTTCTTTTTCCTTTTTCCTTTTTGTTTTTTTTTTCTGGGTTTGTGGTGTGTTGGGGATGACAGGTTGATTTGGAGTGCTCTGATGGGCGCAATACAGTTGGTATATTCAGTCACAAGAGACTTTCTGTGTAAGTTTTGAACCATCCATAGGTTTGTGTATTTAATTTCCCTTCCAAAACTGATCAGGAACCCCATTTTTTCAACATCTGTAAACGTAACAAGGTAGTTGATGTTAGAATTTGTGTTCCAGATCTGTGGGATATGCAGCAGCTGCATTTGTTATGGCAATTCTTGAGGGAAGCACAAAGCCTGGGGTTTGGTTTCCGGAGGAGGTATGTACAAGGGATGAGTAATTTACAAACCTGAAAGCTATACTTTGATGCAATAAGCCTCTTATCAAAGTCTCCCTGTATATAGAATGAAGGCATTGCAATTGAGGCAAGGGAACTCCTCCTCGAACGTGCTGCGCAAGGAACATTCAATTTCGTAATGAACAAGTAAAATTTCCGATCCCTTCTTTCTTATATATATATGTACACACACGCCCGTGACGAAAATAGATATGTGCATAAAGTTTGTGTATGACATAACTGGTTGCTTCTCAACAGGCCATCATGGATGGTGGAAACAAACCCAAAAGAGTTAGGGTTGGGAATATACGTGTAATACTCAAACTGAAGTCAAACTAGAAGTTCAAATTCTTCACCATGTTGCCGAGGTAGGCGTATTAATCGTGTATATGTACATATGTACTGATACGGCGCGTAAGTCTTTCGTCATTACCAAGTAGTTCTTTAGCCATTGTCAAATTAATTGTTCTTTTTTCTTCTTCATATTTGTCGCAGCTGCGAGGCTTCCCCGTCCTGCAGGACAGAAGGGTCGTCAAATTAAACAAATTTTGGAGATAAATATGAATATTTTCCCCTATATATATATATATATATATATAGCAGTATTCTTCAGTAAAGGAAACAAGTGGAATATAATTTACATCGTATGTGTATTATACTTATTTCAATGTTGTGAAATAAGCAGCTAAAACTCTAATAAATTGCACGGTTTGAAAAATAAAACTTCCTTTCATGCCGGTGTGCCACCCTATAAATACTACGTAAAAAACAACCAAGAAGGAAAAGTTTCGGAAATGAATATCAATTTCAATTTCGGTATCGGAATTTTGGAATTTTATTAACGATCATTTACCGTCTGAACATCATTATATGCAAAAAAAATTAAAAATATTCAATTTGGAAGTTGTTTAGTCATCTATGTGTTAAATCAATCAATGGTTTTGGTCACAACTTACAAGTAACATTCTCAAGATGAATAGTCCATTTATTTTATGCATATAAATGGCTACAAGATCTTTAAATTGATTTGATAAGCCTAAAATTCCAACATAAACAAAACAACAAAACTGGAAACTATACATTTAGGGGTGGTTTGGGAGTGAGGTGCTTAAAAAAAAAGCACTCATGAAAAAAAGCACTCATGAAAAAAAGCTGTGAGGGTTTTAGGTGTTTGGTAAACTGAAAAAAAAGGGCTTATTTTGGAAGCTGCTGTGAGAATAAGCTGAAATCAAAGGAAAAAGCTGAAGCTGCTATTTGCAGCTTTGGAAAATTGGATTTTTTTCAAAGCACACGGAGCCACTATCAGACAGCTTTTTTTTTTTTTTTTTTTTTTTTTTTTTTTTTTTTTTCCAAAAGCACTTTTACAAAAAAGTTTACCAAATACTCTGCTGATTTATTTCACAGCCGCTTATTCTCACAGCAGTTTTTTTTCAAAGTACAGCAATACCAAACCAGCCCTTAATGTTTCCCTTAATCGGCTTTAACTATGAGCAAATCCTCATGATGTTGGTAACTCCCTAACAAATATCGTCACTAAGTACTATGGTCTAGTGGTATTCATCTTCATTTGTGAGTTAGAGATCTTAGATTTGATTGTCGTCTAAGGCGAATTTGAACTACATTATTGCTAGCTTATTCTGAGAGTTAGACTACTCCTACACCTCTTAGGGAGAGAAGTAAACCCCACTTTATCTTGTAACCTTTCTTTAGACAACCCAAAATAATTCGATAATCTTCCAACACTTGGTCCTTTTACTGATGACATGAGTTTCATGAATACAAAATAAGTCACGGAAGGCAAACTACAATATTCTAGTATGACATTTTTTGTTTCTAAATTAAAAGATGCATGATTAGTTGTCAATTTTAGTAACACAAATACTTGCCCCAAATTCTTAAACACAATGATAAGTGGGACTTACAATTTAATACCTATATAACTAAATCCTATATCAAATTGATAATTTTTTTTTTATCGAAACCCTAATTCAATTTCACTAACATTGGTAGTCTCCGTTTGGCATAGCCACGTGTCAGGCTTGTGTCGTTAAATTTAACGACAACTGCCATATGAACTTAATGTCTTTAATTTTCCTGTCGTTGGCCGTAGTGACCTGCCGCTGGAATCACTGCCAGAAACTACAAAATTCTAGATTTCGTCCAAAGCTTCCAATTAGCTCAAAATTCACCAAATCACAACCAAATTGCACAGATAGGTCAAGAAACCTTATCTAAACAAGAATTTGGGCAACTGGAGGTTGAATCCACCTCTGATTTGCCAGAATTTAGCCAGGAATTGTTGCCGGATTCTGGAAAAATGCACAGAGGCACTTAGAGGCAAAAAAAACCTCGAATTCGATTCTGAACTCACAAGTACAACTTGAAAATGCTACCTGGGATTGTTTGGAACTAATTTCGAGCTAAATCGCTGACTGTTTTGTTGTGATTCACTTCGAAACTCCTCAGAGTTTTCACCGAGAACTCGAGTCCAAAGTCTCTTTTTCCCCGACACAAAAGGCCGGTCCTGAGAATTTGGGGCCTAGGCGAGCCTTTAAAGTGGGGCCTAAAATTCTGATCTTCGATTATTTGTTTATTGATTTGTATAAACAAGAATTCGCTAAATACATAAAAAGTTCTATTTTCACATCAAATATCATTAAAAATTAATATCAAAAGAAGATAAATATACAAACATTATTTAAACATTACACTATTCACGTTTTTAGACACAAATGTACTAAATGTTTGCAGTCAAGAGTTTAAGATTAAGAGTGAAGAACAATAAAACTTGATGATCAAGAAAGTAAATAACAATAAAACTTGATTGATGAGTATAATATATTCAACGCCATTTGTTTCTCTTGTATTTTTTTTAAAGAAGTTATTGAAAAGAAAAATAAAAAATAAAATAAAAAATTCAAAGTTTTGATTACCTTAAAGTACAATCTTTAAGACCATATGATGGTTGGTTTAAACATTCAATATAAATGGAGAGAATGAGAAGTTGAAAGGAAAAAGATTGCAAAAAGACTTGAGTTTTATAACTTTATATGCATTTGGAGTTGGACAAATGGATTGACAGTAAATTTGAAAAATAAGAAAAATTAAGAAAATCTAGTGACTACTATAAATGCATGAAATATATGAGTGATCAAATACCCCCAAACTTACATTTTTGCTAGTCCTCTAGCAAAACAAAACCACTCAACTAAGACTAGATTCAACAACTTAGTAGCCAACTTCTCAATTTCGATTTCAGAGATAAGTGCTAATCATGATACAGACAATCAAGAACTAATCAAGAGCTCAAAACATCATCCAATAATTAACCAAATTTCCTTCAAACAAAACGTTGAAAAGCCATGTGTGAGCTAGCCATGTCAATGCAATTCCAAGCTCCTTTAAATCATCATATGCAAACATGTGAGTTTCTCACAAGACATACGCTCATTCACTCATAAGTTTTGGTTAATGTGTTTCACTCAAGTGATCTCAGTGCACATGCCACCATATGCTTGCTTGTCCACCTAACTCGCTTATCAATATTTAAGTAATACCTTGGATCAATAGGACTTTATTACGGTTGTAATGAGGTTAAAGGTGATAGGCTAATGAAAGAAAGGATATGGAAATCAAAAATTTTGAGAAAGTACTTTGGTAGTTTTCCAACACCTCAATATCACACCACCTCAAATTGAAAACAAAATAATAAAACCTCGAGCACCTGTTACTCCCCAAATTTAACTTAAAAAGGAAATTTATACTCTGCAGACACATTTTCAACAAATCAACACTCTCCAATTTTCATATATTTCGTTTTTTTTTCTTTTTTTTTTTTTTTTGAAAGAAACAAATCTGCAAAAGCTACATCACCCACCAAATTCACATTTCATTGTAATACACATGCTCCATCTATCTTTCTACATAAATGAAACCCTCAAAAGCACAACCCATGTAATACTTTCTCAAAACAATAAGGAATCGATTTTTGTGTATGGGCTCAACTCCAATATTGGAGCAAGGTAAAGAGATGTGGCTAACAAAAAAATGGTTTAGTTAAAGGCTCAATGGGCTACTACGGATAAACATAGCATATAAGGTAGGCATGAAAGGCTCAAACGATCCAAAGATGGCCTATATCACTTCCCAGTTATTACATGAATTGATTAATGAATCGAGTAGTATAAAGCAAGTTCTAGAGATACATGTACAGTGAGATCATACGCACAAGAAGGAATGAGATTGATGCATAATGGTTCAATCATGTATAGGCTCAAAAACTCACAAGGTTTACATAATCTCACATGATTCACATATGAAACGCTAAATCATGCTCAAGTTTCACATTGACAAGACTAGACACATTTAATTTTCAAGTTGATTTTTGGAAATCACAGCTAACACAAAGACAACGAAAAGAACTTAGACTTCTTGAAAGTAAGAAGGAAATTAAATCAAATCTCATCATTGAATTGAGAAGTAGCTACAAACAACAATAAAAATGCAAAAACTTTTTTATTTTTTTTTAATTTTTATTTTTAAAATTTAATAAATAAACTAACGAAATATATTTCCACCCCCAAACTTAATTATAGCATTGTCCCCAATGATAATGAAAGGAATTTTTTAACAATAAGACATAAAAATGGAAGGAAAGAAATATAAAATGAAATAAAGACACAAAAAGAAAAGGAAAGAACACACCAATTTGTGTAAGCGAGGAGAGCAGTAGTGTGAGAGATGCTGACACGTCTGGAAAAGCAGATTCCTCTCCGATTTCCGAGCTTGCCTCTTCGAAATCTGAGCTCCGTCGAGTGCAGAGGTTGCATGTGACGAGTACGGACAAATCTGGAACAAAGGATGACCCGTGGTTTCTGAGCAAGCTCAGCTTTTGAGAAAGCGAACGCCGCTTTGATTTTTTTAGTTGGCCTCTTCGATATCTGGACTTGCCTCTTCGATCTCCGAAACCCCATCGCGTGCTGATTTTTATAGAGGTATGCAGGACGTTCAAAGCACACTTGAATTTCTGCCTTCAAAAACTCCCTCTTTGCACTTCTACGATCGTGACTTGTCCGACCTCTTCTTTCTTTACACCTCTGAAAAATGTCTGGCCCTTCCGACCGTCGTTTTGACTTGAATCTTGGTGAAGAGGCAGCTCCGCCTTCACCAGATAACATATGGCGCCCATCCTTCATATCCCCTACCGGTCCCCTTACCGTGGGGGATTCGGTGATGAAAAATGATATGACAGCTGCGGTGGTGGCCCGGAACCTTGTCACTCCTAGAGATAACAGACTGCTCTCTAGACGATCTGATGAGTTGGCTGTGAAGGAGTCTCTGGCACTTAGCGTGCAGTGTGCGGGTTCTGTGTCTAACATGGCCCAACGCCTCTTTGCTCAAACCCGTCAAGTTGAGTCGTTGGCGGCTGAAGTAATGAGTCTCAAAGAGGAGATTAGAGGACTCAAGCATGAAAATAAACAATTGCACAAGCTTGCACACAACTATGCCACAACCATGAAGAGGAAAATTGACCAGATACATGAATCTGATGGTCAGATTTTACTTGATCATCGGAGGTTTGTGGGTTTATTCCAACAGCATCTGCCTTCGTCTTCTGGGGCGGCACCGCGTAGTGAAGCTCCAACTGATCAACCTCCGATACCTCCTCCTTCTGTGGCCCCGCCGACTGCTGAGGCCCTGCCGACTACTGAAGCTCCTCCTTCGCAGCCTA